AAATTTTTTTAAATTTAGAGAGAAAGAGAGAGCGACAGAGAGAGAGAGAGAGAGAGAGAGAGAGAGAGAGAGAGAGAGAGAGAGAGAGAGAGAGAGAGAGGAAAGAAAAAAATAAATTTTAAGCTTTTAGATGAATATATATATATATATATTTTTTTTTGTATATTTTATATATATATTAAATTTTATATTATTAATAATAATAATAATAATAATAATAATTATATATATATATTAAATCTTATATATATATTACATTTTTATATATTTTATATATATTAAAAAATATATATACATATTTTTCTTTTTTTTAATATATCGTACATTCAAAAGAAAATTAATTTTTATTTAATTGTTATCAACAAAAAAAATATATATTCTATATTGAATATTTTATAACTGCAAAGAAGATTTGTTTCGTTCGACTGTTGTTGGTGATTTAAGAAAGAAAAAAAAGGAAAAAGAAAAAAAAAAAGGAAAAAAAAAATATATATATATAAGATTTATGTGATGTAAAATTCTTTGGGAATGAATGAACCTGTAATAATGAACATTTTAAAAACGTCGATGACGTTACGAAGTCTAAGATTGAAATTATATTGACGATGACGACGATGACAATAATGACGACGACGAAATGACGAAGAAACTACGATGATCAAATGATCGGACGATCGTAGCTCGATCGTGGCTACAAAGAGGTGGATCTTGTCGAGATCCTCTCCCTCCCTCCCTCCCTCCCTCTCTCTCTCTCTCTCTCTCTCTCTCTCTCTCTCTCTCTCTCTTTCTCTGTCTTTGTCTCTCCGTCTATCTATCCTTCTCTCTTTAGCTCCCTCGCATTACGAACCGGCTTCGACGTTCACCTTGACCGGCGGGAACCACTTCGTGTCCCGGACACGATTCCCCTCGTCTGAGGATCACCAAAAATCGAGACTCCGAATCTTTCTCCTTGGCTACTTTTCGCTTAGACGCTGAATCATTCTACATTATCGATATATACTCCTATATAAAATTTATATAAGCAATACTTATTCAACTTATCGATATATTATACCTATGTATTGTGTTTTATTTTGTTTGTTTGTTTGTTTGTTTGTTTGTTCGTTCGTTCGTTCGTTCGTTGTCGTTCTCGTCGTTGTTATATCATTTGATATATGTTTGTAATTATAATATTATTGTATACATATAATTATTGTATAATCGTGCATGCATGCACGCAAGTTAATTATTATATTATTGTAAATATTTTATAATGTAATCATTGAACCATTGTATGGTATTATAGTTTTGGAATAATTTTCTTTTTCCTCTCTTTCTAAGATTAGATTTCTCTTTCTAAGATCTTTCTTTGTTCATACATTAATCCTTTTTCCTGTTGTTGGTTTTTCTTTTTTTTTTCTTTCTTTCTTTCTTTTTTTCTTTCTTTCTTCTCTTTTTTTTTTTCGTAGTTTCCTTTCCATGAATATTCGATTCTTCTCATAATTTTCAATTGTAGTATACATACACACATATACATACACACACATATATATATATACTTACACAAAAAATATTTTTTTGTAATATATCGTACATTAAAAAGAACATTAGTTTTTATTTAATCGTTATCAACAAAAATATATTTTCTATATTGAATATTTTATACTGCAAAGAAGATTTGTTTCGTTCGACTGTTGTTGGTGATTTAAAGAAGGAAAAAAAAAAGAAAAAGGAAAAAAAAGCTACAGAAAGAGAGAGAGAGAGAGAGAGAGAGAGAGAGAGAGAGAGAGAGGGAAAGAATAAAATTACAGATACTGTTCCAAGATAAATTGAATGGTTATGAAGTTGCGTGTGGTTCTCGTGCGTGTTATTAAGAGTATGTGTACGGTACATTTATAATGCAGCGATAAAGGAAAGTTAGCAAGAGACACTCTTACATAATTCGATAAAATCTTTCTTAAAGGATGAGTCGAACGATCTCAACCCTTTTCCTTCTTTTCCTTTTTTTTTCCTTCTTTTCCTTGGTTTTTTTTTTCTTCCCTTTTTCCTTCCTTCCTTTACCGAGAAAAGCAAGCGTGATGAGTTAAAGGGCGTAATTTCGTGTGTCGTCGAAATTAGAGATTAAATATTATCTAAAATTTGTATCTAAATAAAAGTCTAAGAGAGAGAGAGATGGAGAGAAAAAGATAGAGAGAGAGAGAGAGAGAGAGAGAGTGTGTATAAGAACGTTGCAATTTTTAATAGAAAAAGTATTAAATGAAATATTATATTTTTTGTTGAATTATAAAAAATATTGAACGTTCCAACGTGTCGGAGGATTACCTAACGCAATAATAAAAATTCTAAATGAAATAACACGTTATCTACAAAATTTGTATCTAAATGTAAATAAAAAATCTGAGGAAGTGAAATTGAAATTTTTAGTATTAAAAAAAAAAAAAAAAAAAAAAAGAAGAAAAAAAGGGAGAGAGAGAGAGAGAGAGAGAGAGAGAGAGAGAGAGAGAGAGAGAGAAAAGGAAAGAATTAAATGCCAAACGAAATGTTATTTTTAATGTTATTTTTTCCGATATAAAAAATTGAAACATTTCGAAGTGTTGGAGATTAGCTAACGTAACAATAAAAATTCGAAAGTGGAGATTAATTTATCTAAAATTTCTATTTAAATGTAAATAAAAAAAAAAAAATCTGAGAAAGTAAAGCTGAAATTTTTATAGTACGATATATACTAAACAAAGTATTTTTATTTTTTATTTATTTATTTATTTTTTTTTCTTTTCTTTTTTTTTTTTTTTTTTTTTTTTCCCCAGATATAAAATACATTTGAACGTACCAACGTGCCCGGGGAAATAACTAACGCAATAATAAAAATTCGAAATTATAGAAAAAGTTATCTGAAATTTCTATCTAAATATATATATATATATATATATTCCCGAGCAAGGGTCGTTGAAATTTTACATGTATATAATATATTAAATAAAATGTTTTTTTTTTCCTTTTTGTTTCCTCCCCTCACTTCACCCCCGGCCCTCCTCTCCAGATAGAAAAATATCGAACGATCCAATCGCGTTTGGAGCACTGACTGACGCAATAATGAACATTCGAAATTTCATATTAACTTATCTGAAATTTCTATTTTAAATCAAAATCCGAGTAGGCGTCGTTGAAATTTTTGAATACATAAAATATACAAAAAAAAAAAAAAAAAAGAAAAAAAAAATAAAAATTATTTTTTTTCTTTCTTTCTTCTTTTTCTTTTTTTTTTTTTTTTTTTTTTTTTTTCAAATACAAAATTATCGAACGATACGAACAATCCGTATTAAAAAGAACGGTTGACCCGGATGATAAAAAAAAAAAAAAAAATAAATAAATAAATAAATAAATAAATAAAAAAAGAAATAAAAAAAAAAAAATTACGTTAGTGTTCGTTTAGAGTTCGGCAAAGCCGTTTGTTCCTATAATATAAATCATTATACGAAGAATAATCGTCTCTCCCTCGTTAAATCGCTATCCCTCGATCGTAGAAAGAACGCGAACGAGAGTCCACGGTACTTTGTCTCCTCTTCGGACGTTATCTGGTCGGCGCGAACAAGCCTCCTGTCCCACGCATACAAGCCCCCCTTTTTCGACTTTAAATAGCTTCCAATTGGATTGTTCGTCGAACGCGTTACCGTCCCACGTCGACTCGTTCTTCGTGTTTCGTGGCTTATCAAAACTATAAATAAAGACGCTGATCTGTCTCTCTCTTTCTCTTTCTTTCCGTCTCTCTCTTTCTCTTTCTTTCCGTCTCTCTCTCTCTCTTCTTTTCTCGAAACATTTCTTCTTGGTATAATATAAGGAAAAAAAAGAAAAGAAAAAAGAAAAAAAAAAAAAAATTAAAAAGAAAAAAATTTTCTAATTATTCCTATTATCTCGTTCGTCGTTGATAAAAAAGAAAAACAAAAAAAAATTAAAAAAGAAAAAAAAAAGGGTTGGAAAGTAATTTATAAAAGAGAGTCCCTATACTCTTTCTCTTTCTCCCCCAACCACCCATACGCGTATCCTTAGGCTAGGTTTATAAAATATGAACAGAACCGTTTGTTATTTTATTATTCATTGTTTCTTTTACTTTAGAATTCTTCGAAAAACTCGTTAAAACCACGTGTCTCTCTTCTCTCTCCTAACTCTCTCTCTCTCGCGCTCTTTCTCTTTCTCTCTCTCTCACGCTGCTTATAGTCATCGGCGCGTTTGAAACATCACAAGAGAGAGAGAGAGAGAGAGAGAAAGAAAGAGAGAGGAGAGACCACTTCTGCCGGCTGTTCGTTCATACGTTCCTTAGTTCCATCGTTCCTTAGTTCCATCGTTCCTTTGTTCCTATGTTCCTATGTTCCTACGTTCCTATGTTCGTTCGTTCAATCGTTCCTATGTTCCTACGTTCATTTAGCCGCGACTTGTTTTCGCGTGCGACGCGCACGGCGCGTGTGTCGCACGGCGGCATAGGAGCCAGAGCGATCCGAGTGGGAGAGTGGGGCGGAGTGGGGGAGCCGCGCGATGGCCCGTAAGTGGGGATAACGGGACGACGTAGCCGTGCTAGAACGGCGGGAAAATTCGAAAGCACGCTTTTCTTATAGCTTTTTGCAAAACAAAGACGGCGCGCGACGCTCATAGGAGATTGAGATTTCGCGGCGCGCGTAAATTATCGTTCGTCTTTGAAACTTTGAAACGAGTCGAGGAATAAAAGACCGGGAGAAAAAAAAGAAAAAAAAAAAAAAAAAATACGCGAGACTAGAAATACGCGACGACAATGACGGCGATAACGACAATAACGGCGACGACGATGACGACGACGACGACGACGACGACGACGACTACGACGACGATGACGAAGAATAAGAATAAGAATAAGAATAAGATATAGAGTAAGAGTAAGAGTAAGAACAAGAATAAAAGCAATGAGAATAAGATATATATATATATATATTAAGAATATATATATATTATATATGTATATATATAATAAAGCTATTTTGATTATTACTCACCGGAATTGTAGTATTCCTTAAAGTATCGCGTCGCCGCACGCTGGACGATCGAGTAGTACAAGTTCACGTAGGACGTCGACTGGTTCTGTGCTGAGAGCGCCATTTACACTGTTTTTTAGCGCGCGCGCGCGCGCTCGCGGCTCACACAACACCGTAGAATAATAATAATAATAATAATAATAATAAAGAAAGAAAGTTAATAATGTTTAGCGATGAGAAACGCGTTAGCACGTAGGCGCGTTCTCGACGACGAGGATATATCTTCGGATCGGTTGACGGTAGTTATCGTTCCAGTTCTTTGAATCTTTTTCGTCCTCGTCCACGTCCTGCACGGCGACGGTCGCGGTATTGGGGCAAACAAAACGCAACGCGAAAAGAAGCGCGTAAACGCGAAACTGTTTGCCGCCTTGATCAACGACTTTAACGACACTTTTATTAACGTCAGCTTTTCCCTCCGTCGTCGTTGTTATTGTTGTTGTCGTCTTCGTCGTTGTCGTCGTATCCGTCGTCTTCGTCCTCGTTCTTGTCCTCGTTCTTGTCGACACCGCAGCCGTTGTCGTCGTATCCGTCGTCGTCGTCGTCGTCGCCGTTGCCGTTGCCGTCGTCGTCGTTGTCGTCGTCGTCGTCGCCGTCGCCGTCGTTGCCGTCGCCGTCGTCGTCGTCGTCGTCGTCGTCGTCGTTGCCGCCGCCGCCTTCGGTATCCTCCTCCTCCTCCTCCTTCTCGGCACGTTCGTACCGGACGATCGGTTCGCGACCGTGAAAAACACCTTGGCCACCACCTCCGCCGCCGCCTCCACCTCCTCCACCTCCACCTCCACTTCCTCCTCCTCTTCTCCTCCTCCTCCTCGTCCTCCTCCACCTCCGGCACCAGCACCTCCACCTCCTCCCCCTGGGCCTCCTCCTCCAGCACCTCCTCCTTCTCCTTCGTCCGACTCCTCCTCCTCCACTTCCTGATCACGCGCTACTCCTCCGCAAGACACCGTGCCGCCGCTTTTAACCGTAACCACCGTCGTCGTCGTCGTCGTCGTCGTCGTCGACGTCGTAGCCGTAGCCGTAGCCGTAGTCGCCACCACCGCCGCCGCCGCCGCCGCCGCCGCCGCCTTCGTCTTCGCCGTCGCCGTCGTCGTCGTCGTCGTCGTCGTCGTCGTCGTCGCCGTCGCCGTTGTCCTTCTCTTCCACTTCCTTTTCTTCTTCTTCTTTCTCTTCTTTCTCTTCAGCTTCGACTTCGGCTTCGTTCTGTACCCACTCGTATCTTCGTACGGCCTCCTTCTTCCTCCACGAGTGTTGTTGACGCGCGCGACGAAATTCGGCCTACGGCCACTTCCCACTCCTGGTAGTATCGTTAGTCTCGACACAAACACCACTACTACTATTCCTATCGCTATGACTACTACTATTATTACTACTACTACTACTACTACCACGTCGACGAGGAGGAGGAGCAGCAGCAGCAGCAGTCTCGTGACGGTCTCGCATGCTCCGTGCTCTCTCGCGTGTCTATCTCTACGATGTAGCTGCCGTTGCCGTTGCCGTCGCCGTCGCCGTTGCCGTCGCGGTCGCCGTCGTAGTCGTAATCGTCGCCGTCGCCGTTAACGTCCGCGTCTTCGTCGTCACCGTCGTCACCGTCGTCACCGTTGTCACCGTCGTCACCGTCCACCACTCACGCTCCTCGTATTCGTATCTCTCCTCTCTTTCTCTCTCTCTATCTCTCTCTATCTCTCTCTCTCTCTCTCTTTCTCTCTCTCTCTCTCTCTTTCTTTCTCTCTCTCTCTCTCTCTCTCTCTTGCTGACTCTCGAACTGGAGTGTAGCCGCGCGCGCGCGCGCCGGGTCTACGGTGTACGGAAAACTCTCTCTCTCGCGGCAGCAGACTCGGCCTGAGAGCTTCCCCGAGTAACTCGCCGAGACCGAGACACTGTCGAGCTGACGAGCGAGGTTGCCAGACTTCCGTGGTGGCGCGCCGTGCCGCGCCGCGCACCGCACCGCACCACACGCCGCGCACCGCGCCGCACCGAGAGACACGGCGCACGATCTGCCTCGAGTGTATCGCAGAGTGGGGGGGGATATCTCCCGACTGGTTCGCCTTTCGGATGGTGGAGGCGCGCGTCCCAAGGGTAGGGTAGGGTAAGCTAGGGTAACCGGGGGACGTAGCGGGGAAAGGAGAGGGGGTTAGAAGAAAGAGAAAGAGAAAGAGAGAGAGAGAAAGAAAGAGAGAGAGAGAGAGAGAGAGATACACACACACTACCGCCGTCGCTTACCACCAACAGGATCGGATTCGCCTTCAGGGCCCTCCAACTTTATATCCGAGCGATGCAATATCTCTACAATTTTTACTTTTCCACACGTAGACAGATGGCGCGGCGATACGTTGCTCTCGTAACCCTTTACGTTTTTCTAACACGTGAGAATATTTCTTTCGATTGCTTTATATCGAGCATTAGCATTTCGAACCGTACGAGAAGCAATGTTCCTCGGATGCCTGTAACAACACGTATAGGTTAT